GATGCGATAGAGTTAAAATTGAAAATGATTCGTGTCGAGCACATTGCCCGATTTCACCGAAGGTAATTAATAATATTTAGTTTTAGGGCTATTTATAACATTTTAAAATGTAGTGTACTATTAAATTAATTTATTAACTTTTTTCTAGGTCATGTTCAATAAAATGCGATTAAATTATGAGGTTTACGCACCTCCGACTAGGAGGGAGATGGCCTCCCCCGAGTCGACGAGTACATCCAGCATACACAATGACACCGGATTCACCAGCATTTATGAGTACAATTTCTTATTGACTGAAGAGGAAATCGAAGAAGACCTGGCAGTAATAAATCAAGCTCTGAAATCCGTGGAGAAATAGTGCAATATATTTTATACTATAGAATGTTAACGACCTGTGATATGCTTTCACCAAATATATATTTTTTTAACTTTATAAATCCAATTGTTTTTACTGTTCCAAAGTTTTTACCCACAGATTTATTTGAACCTTGAAAACATTAATTTTTTATGGCTAGCGTGTTCGTCCGGTCATTCTGGTTTGCCTATCTTCGCCGTGTTTCTCTGTGGCCTGACACAGCCACCATAGAAACCAACATGATCGTGACGACCAAATTAAAAATGTTATTTAAAAAATAGTACATTCAATTTATGGTACCGTCTGATAGTTTTTCCCTTGGCTTCATACATCGAGCGAGTAGGTGTGCCGCCCGATATCGGACTTTGAACGCAGGTTCATTTTTGTAAAATTTTAACTTAATCGTACATTAATATATTACATATTTCGCTCTTATCAAAATCCACTTTGAAGTTTGGCAGTCTCCGAAACTCTTGCTACGCCTATCCTTATATAGAAACTAAAAATACTTTTTAACCCGACCCAGGATAACCAAAACAAAATAATCGGTAATGACCAAATTACTTGTTCATCACCCGGCATGTTATCTTATGAATTATGTTATGGGTTAACTACTCGACTTAATACTTCCTTCTTAAAGTAATATACAGGGTGTCCAAGTTCCTTCTGACGAAACTCAGGGAATCGATTCTACTCTTCGTTTGGAGCAAAAAATGCTCAGGAGAAAATTTTCGGAAAGTTCTTTATTTTGAAGATATTCGTCAATCTCGTGTACAAATGTGTGGTGATTAGTGACCGTTAAACGATAATTAGTCAGAAATCCTGAGATGCGGTCCGGTGTGATGTAGGTTTCAGATAAACGTTTTCTTTATCGTGCCAACGTTTCGATCTTTACTGAGATCATCTTCAGGCCTGGGATTTACAAACATTGTTTACATTTAACAAATAAATTTAGGATGTGAAAAAGTGAATTTATACAATGCAAAATATTTTTTTTATATTCAATCAAAGTATTTCTACTAACTCACTTTTTCACGTCTTAAATGTATTTGATAAATGTAAACAATGTTTGTAAATCTCAGGCCCTGAAGATGATCTCAGTAAAGATCGAAACGTTGGCACGATAAAGAAAATGTGTTTCTGAAACCTACATCACACCAGACCGCATCTCACGATTTCTGACTAAATATTCGTCAATTTAAGTTTTTTCAACTTTTCACTACCTTACCACATAAAACCCTTACAACTTCCAAAATGTTGGGAGTACAACAAATCTAATTACACCATTTGAAAGAACGCTAAATTTGCTGTAAGATACTTCTTTGCAATAATCTGAATGACATAAAATGTTAGCCAATATCAGTTGGAACATGTAAAAATTACAAAACTACAACAATGTAGGTAAAAACATTATCGTAGATTATAAAAATATTGAATGAAATTGCATATAAAAATAAATAGAGATAAATTTCGCTATTTGGCCAAGTTTTCTTTCTTGAGTTTAACAACAATTTGAACCCCCACCCCTTTAGGACTTACCCAGCGGCTATAAAAGGCGATTTTGCCCTTCTGTTTATTTTATTAACAATACGGGCTTCGGACCGACCACATAGACCGTTTTCGAAAAAAGGTAAGACAACGGCTTTAAATTCAAATTTAATTTTTGTAAATATGATATTCATTAAATAATTTCTTTTGTTTTTCTTATTTTTCAGAACATTTCACATAAAATGCCTAGATGCGATAGAGTTAAAATTGAAAATGATTCGTGTCGAGCACATTGCCCGATTTCACCGAAGGTAATTAATAATATTTAGTTTTAGGGCTATTTATAACATTTTAAAATGTAGTGTACTATTAAATTAATTTATTAACTTTTTTCTAGGTCATGTTCAATAAAATGCGATTAAATTATGAGGTTTACGCACCTCCGACTAGGAGGGAGATGGCCTCCCCCGAGTCGACGAGTACATCCAGCATACACAATGACACCGGATTCACCAGCATTTATGAGTACAATTTCTTATTGACTGAAGAGGAAATCGAAGAAGACCTGGCAGTAATAAATCAAGCTCTAAAATCCGATGAAAAATAGTGCAATATATTTTATACTATAGAATGCTAACGACCTGTGATATGCTTTCACCAAATATATATTTTTTTAACTTTATAAATCCAATTGTTTTTACTGTTCCAAAGTTTTTACCTATTAATTTATTTGAACCCTGAAAAGATTAATTTTTATGGCACAGCGTGTTCGTCCGGTCATGCTAGTTTGCCTATCTAGTTTGCCGTGTTGTTCTGTGGCCTGACACAGCCGCGGTAGGCAAACCAACATGAAGTACGACCAAATCCCCACCCCTTCAAATTCCAACATATATAAACACAAAACAGCAATATCTCACTGGCACTCACAACACGACACGCAATAATGGCACAATTACACAGAAGACAAACACTTTGAGTGAGTAGAAATACTTTGATTGAATATAAAAAATGTTTTTTGCTTTATATAAATTCACTTTTTTCCACATCCTACATGTATTTGTTAAAAGTAAACAATGTTTGTAAATCCCAGGCCCTGAAGATGATCTAAATAAAGATCGAACCGTTGCCACGATAAAGAAAATGTTTTTCTGAAACCTACATCACACCAGACCGCATCTCACGATTTCTAAATAAATATCGATTAACGTTCACTCATCACCACACATTTCTACAAAAGATTTTAAAATTTAAGTCCCTAAATTTCCTCAGGGTTGGCATTGCGACATATAGCTTGGCGTTATCGTGAAGAGGAATCGACCTCTTAGGTTTACCAATGCTTGACAAAGACGTTTCTTTTTCCCGTGCATTTTGTCAATTTCTTGGCAATATTTCTTTGCTGTCATAGTGTCACCACAATTCAGGAAATTATCGTTAACAACCCCAGCAGATCAACCACCAAACAATCATAATAACCTTTTTTGGGTGCATATTGGTTTCGGTAAGTGCTTTGGCTCTTCATCCTTACCAACCACTGACCCGTACGCTTCCTGTTATCGTACAGAATCCATTTCTCATCGCACGTGATGATTCCATCGAGAAATAGATAAGATTGGTAGTGCAACAGAAAAAAATGGAAATTTCAAAGCATCGATTTCTTTGGGCCTTGGCCAGTTCGTGCTGTAACCACTTCTCGAGCTTGTTTACTTTACCAATTTGCTCCAGATAGAGAAGAACGGTTGAGTGCTCAACACTAAGCTCTTCCGCAATTTCCCGTGTTGTCTTACGAAAATTGTCCTTCCCTGTCTTCGAGATCGAAATCTCCAAGACATTATCTCTGAAACGATCGCTGTACCGAGCATTCGTTAATGTTTCCCTTCCCCTAAAATGTATTGAAGTTACTGCGGTTGGGCCGCTCTTTGCCCAAATTTAAATTCGTACAAAAAATTTCACAAATCAAGTTTGGGCATATTTGAGGTCATAAGTGGTTGCAGGTCATCACTCTTATAGCAGTCGATATGAACTAAAATTAATTAATCTTTATTAAATTCACTATTTTTCGTGGTCCGCTTGACCAATTAATATCATTCAATTCATTAAGGTTTTTAGTTGAGATAAAAAAGTTAGTGCTCAAGTGGTGGAGCAGCGGCTTTTCAAGCTGAAGGTCGTGGGTTCGAATCCCCCTCGTGACACTGACTTTTTATCTCATCTAAAAACATTAATTAATTGTATGATATTACTTGGTCAAGTGGACCACGAAAATTAGTGAATTTAATGAGTTAAAATGTAGTATGTTTCACTAAAGCTCTCCGTGACCATTTCATTTGTCGATGAAAATCAAATAGATTACACGATATTTAAAAAATGGCAAAAAGGAGGGAGAATTCAAAAGGTGTGGTTGAGATGGGAAGTTAGTGTCCGAGTAGATCGAAGTCACGATAGCTCAAGTGGTAGAGTAGCGGCGTTTCAACCCGAAGGTCGTGGGTTCGAATCCCGCCCGTGACACTGACTTTTTTAACTCAACTAAAAACCTTAATTAATTGGATTAACCTTTATTTAAAATATTAATTGAAAAAGGTTATTTGGTCAATCGGACGGCGAAATCTAATGGATTTCATAAACTAAAATGTTTTGTATAAAAGATAATAGGTTAAACTTTTTATTATATTCATAAATTAAATTTGAGGAGCTGTGTTTACATGGTAATTGTAAAAACCTGCATTAATTTTGCACCAACCCAATACGCACTACATATTGTAAAAATAATTCAATAAAAACAATAATAAAAAACTTAACCAAATATGTATAATTTGAAGCAAACATCATGTACTGAAATGGCATTATCTTTTAACTCAAATTATTAAAAAAATTCATCTACATACAAATCATACATCTACATTTTTTTTACTGATGTTGTGTTCTTCTTTCTTCATATTTCTTATTCCTTAATCTAAGATCTTGTCTGATCAGTTATGTCCAAGTAAAATTTATGACTTACAGTTGATCAATATAATTAAATCAATTGAAAATATAATTTTAGTCACTTGGTATTTAAAATATTTTTCTTTTCTTTTTATAGCTTTCAAATTAGATTCTTTCGTTTAAAATCAATGTATATATAACAATATAATATTATATAATATAAATTTCTTTGGAAGCCTGTTTGCCTGATATATTATCATAATTTAATAATATAAAAGATTGTACAAAGACAATGGCGAAATCTTAAAATGGTCGATAATGTCAACTATTCTTCGATCCACGCCAGTTTGCTCGAACATTGATGAAGATGTGTGGTGATCTCCAGATAATCATTGATGAGGATGTTTTTTCAATATTAAAAAACTTTACATCATTGATCTTCTTCTTCAGTCTCATCGAGAGCGTTTTTCACGATTGCCAGATCGTGAGCGATTTCTTCGTCGGAGAGCATGAAGTTGAATTTCTCCAGGACGCTTTTGTACTCTTGTACGGGGAGCCTGCAGACTTTGGCCGCCCTGCGGCTTCGCCTTTCCCTTTTCACCTCCGTCTGTATGTCGGGCAGGCGTTCGTTCCTGAACCTGATTTCTTGGCACGTTTTGAACTTCTGCATCAACTCGTGGTAGCCATCTTCGCTGGCTGGGTCGCACTCGTCGTCCGACCGATGCTCCAACGCTGAATCGTCTTCGGCCGTTTCGCCGTCGTCGGCGTCCGTGGTTTGGAGGAGAAAGCCGACGTATTGTTCCACGTCCCATTCCATTTTCAGGAGGTCGTCAGGGGAAAATAGACTTCCGTTCGTCTCGATGTAGGCGTCAACGAACAACTTCGGATCCCGTGAGTCGTCCGGTAAATCCAACGGGATTAGTCCTCTCGGTCTTAGATAACGCCCTCCATAAGGAAGATCCATTTTATAATTCTTGGAAGGAATTGTGGAGGCATTTTTCCGGTAGTGTTCGGCCATAAGACGCTGACTTTGGTTTGCTCAGTGCTGGAGAAAAAAAAATTGAATGGAATTTTTCTTTTGTAAGTAGTTATTTATTAGTACGTACGAAGTATATTATATTTTTTCAACTAGGAGAGCTTGTTTATCAGGCTGAAGAATGCTTTTAAGCGAAGATTTATAATACCTTAAGATCAGTTGTAGTTCCCAAAAGACGTTTCAATTCTCTTTGCCCTGAAAAAATAAAACAAACTTATTACTATACTTTTACACTATGGTTTTTGCAATATTCTATAGATGACAAATGGACTTGACATTTAAGGTCATACTAGAAGAATATTGTGCTAATTTAAGCGTGGTTTATCATTTAGTTTAAGGAATACTTTTTCTTTGAGGACATTAATTAGAAAACACTTAAGTTAGTATAAAAGTAAGTAATGATAGCAGATGTTGAGTAAAAAGGGTGAGTGAGTTTGAGAAAAAGTGATGAGATAATGGATGATAGATAGAGAGGGTGTGCGAGAGGACGAGAAAGAGGGCGAAGATAGATAGAGAGCAACAGGGCAACAGAGAGAAAGAGAGAGACAGTGAGAGAGACAGAGAGAGAGAGACAGAGAGAGAGAGAGAGAGAGAGAGAGAGAGAGAGAGAGAGAGAGAAAGTGTGTAACCGAGAAAGAGGAGAAAGATGGAGAGGTAGAATCAAAGTGAGAGTAGGGGAGACTAACCCATATTCTTATCCTAATCATTCATGAAATATTATATACAAGAAAATATTATACTGTTTATATGCATAATAATGCAAAATATAAACAATGTTTACCATACAACTTTATAAGAATATCTTTCAATTAATTAAGATTTTTAGTTGAGATAAAAAAGTCAGTGTCACGAGCGGGATTCGAACCCATGTCCTTCGGCTTGATACGCCGCTACTCTACCACTTGAGCTATCGTGCCTTCGATCCCCTCGGGCCTAACTTCCCATCTCAACTCACCTTTTGATTATTATTCAGAAATCGTGAGGTGTGGTCTGGTCTATCGCGTATACTAATCACCACACATTTCCACCTTTTGAATTTTCCCTCCTTTTTGCAATTTTTCAAATGTCGTGTAATCTATTTGATTCTCGGCGACAAATAAAATGGCCACGGAGAGCTTTACTGATATATACTACATTTTAACTCATTAAATTCACTAATTTTCGTGGTCCGCTTGACCAATTTATTTCTTTCAATTAATTAAGGTTTTTAGTTGAGATGAAAAATTGAAAAATGGCAAAAAGAAGATAAAAAGAAGGCAAAATTCAAAAGTGGGGTTGAGATTGGAAGTTAGTGGCCGAGTAGACCGAGTCAAGTGGTAGAGCAGCGGTGTATCTAGCCGAAGGTCGTGGGTTCGAATCCCGCACGTGACACTGACGTTTTTATTTCAACTAAAAGCCTTAATTAATTAAAAGATATTAATTGGTCAAGCGGACTACGAAATCTAGTGAATTTATAAGAATATTTTGATCTTGGTTTCCAATTAATTATTTAAAATGACTAATCTAAAATGATAAATGTTTATACTGGTCGGGAGTGCGCGTATACTATTGATTATGGATATGTAAGAAAAAGAAGAAGTTTTCATTAACTAAATAAATTTATAATTTTAGTCTTGATAATTTACTCCATATGCCAATGTTCAGTTTTTTGAATTAATAACCTATATATTTTCTATACCGATTTCCTTCCCCACCCCTTCAAAATCCAACGTATATAAACATTAAACAGCCAAATCTCACTGGTACTCTCAACACGACACCCAAGAATGACACACTTACGCAGAAAACAAACACTTTGATTGAATATATAAAAATATATATTTTGCATTGTATAAATTCACTTTTCCACATCCTAAATGAAATTGTTAAATGTAAACAATGTTTGTAAATCCCAGGCCCTGAAGATGATCTCAATAAAGATCGAAACGTTGGCACGATAAAGAAAATGTTTTTCTGAAACCTACATCACACCAGACCGCAGCTCACGATTTCTGAATAATTTTTCTCAATTATTAACGTTCATATCAGTCATCACCTGATATTCCAAAACTAATCTAAACTGATAAGATGTGTTAATGATTTCTTCGTATATCAAATTACATTGGTTCTGTAATGATCCATCGATAGTCTCAAGTCCTGTCAGGCTGGTTGTGGAACGTAAGGCCAACGATATGCAATGAAATGTTTGCACCATTTCAGCAACGCAGAATTTACGTGAAAACGTAGGAACATTTAACCTGGAACAAGTCGTGTTCAGTGTTGATAAGTTTGTCTTGGACCGGTAGGAAACGTAATGTTAGTGATTGTAGTCTGAAATTTTGAATGAGAAATTTAACCACTAAATCAACGTCAATACCGAAACTTAAATTAGAAATTCTATAAAAGAGAAAGAAATTATTTTGAATTTGTAAAAGCAAAAATAAATATTATTTAGCCATAGACGACAATAACAAAACATTTATTTAGAACAACTTTGTTAAAAATGTATTATTCTAACTAAACTGAAACTTAAAAATTCAAACGAAAATAAATAAAGTCAGCGTTTCGTAATAGATAATTCCAGTTATTTTTCCATTGTTTATTTTCGAAAGGTGATGTGGATGATAATCAAAAAACACGTTTACATTTTATTTTAATCCAAAGAACTCTAAATAAATGTACATTAAAGTTCTGATTATCCCATCGGATATTGCACTAAGGGGAAAAATATTTTCTGGCGACTGTGAAAATAAAGATCTTTCAAAATAATTTGTAGAAATACACAGCTGAAAGTGAAGAGAGTCGAAGGTATTTTAATTCATAAATCATTATCACTATTCTGATTTAAAAGGTCCTTGGACATAGAAGAAAATTGCGCCCAAAGTGATAAAGTGAATCTTAGTGAATTTAAAATTTAAAAGCTTACCAGAATCGATCAACTATGGCCGTGTTCAAGTTCGGCTGGGGGTTTGTGCATCATCTTCGATCTGATGTAAACTGCTAAAAGAAATCTTATCATTGACGGCGTTTTTCTTTCTTCTCTCCTTTTTGTTGTTAAATACTATTCCTGGTGATTTCAGAGTTTATCAACAATATCAAAGTTTGATCAGTCTATTTATTATTTCACAGCTGCTTGAAATTATGACTAATGCTTTAAAATTGGCGATAAACTGCCTCTTTTTAGCCGGTCTATTAAAGATCGACAAGCGATAAAAACAGATTCTTGTTTAATCTGTCATGTGGCATTGAGTTGAACAATTGAGAGGTTTTCTTATACAAAAAATAAAGAAGAAACTGTGAGTCGTTTTTTGTTGCGCTTTCAAAAAACGAGTATTAAGATGTACTACATACATACATGTATTTACGTAGTATGTTTCTGATGGTAGAATCAGATTTCGTTCTGGGTTTTAAGATAGTTAAAAATAAATTGAGTAATAGATCATCAATCCCTGCGAAGCGCAATAATTTACATGTATAACTAGATTTCTTAATTCATGTTTAGAGAAAAACGGAGAGACATCGAGTGGACGAGCTATCCAAAGATAATAATTTTAAATTAGAAATCGTCACTTAATCACTGGAACTGACTGAGAGCAAGTAACGGGGCAACTATCTTTTTAGAATAATTATTCAGATATCATGAGATGCGGTCTGATGTGTTGTAGGTTTCAGAAAAACATTTTCTTTATCGTGCCAACGTTTCGATCTTTATTGAGATCATCTTCAGGGCCTGGGATTTACAAACATTGTTTAAATTTAACAAATACATGTAGGATGTGGAAAAGTGAATTTATACAATGCAAATAAATATATTTTTATATTCAATCAAAGTATTTCTACTCATTCATTGAATATAAAAAATATATTTTTAATAAATTCACTTTTTTCCACATTGTATTTGTTAAATTTAAACAATGTTTGTAAATATCAGGCCCTGAAGATGATCTTAATGAAGACCGAAACATTGGCACGATAAAGAAAATGTTTTTCTGAAACCTACATCACACCAGACCGCATCTCACGATATCTGAATAATTATGGATTAACGGTCACTAATCACCACAAATAACTTTTTAGAAGAGGATTGCCGGGAAGAGATCGGGGGGAAAGTTGATATGAATTTTTTTGTAGCTGGAATTTGCAACTTCATTTATAAGGGAACTTTCAGGACGTTGTGGATGGTGCGATTTGAAACATAAAACTTTAAACGTTAATAGTGTATCTGAGGATTCGGATTGTAGGGTCTGGATTGGAAGGTATGGTTGAACCCGTATTTCTGTGGAGTATGCCCATATTGTTTTCAGTATTGATTTGTATATGAGTATTTTGCTTTCAAGGGAGACTTTAGACTTTAGTTTTCTAGTAATCTTTTAAGTATCATTACCGTCAGTTCAGTTATATTTTTTAAGTAGTATGGGGATTCTAGGAGTCCTTTGTATATATACAGCCCTGGTAGCGGATTGGGCGTGAGGTTATAATAGATTGAAGATATTGATACGACGTTGGGCGAAGGATATATTTTGGGTCTTTGTGGTGTTTAGTTAAATGGTCATTTTGTGATCATTGCTCAATGGAATATCAGGAATATCCGAGTCTGGAGAGTTCGGCGAGCGTTGCCGGGGTCGGAGTTGGAATATAGATTGGCAGTGCCATCAGCGCATGTTAAGAGGTGCTGGGATGGAATAATAGCAGTTTATGATTATTCGGAAATTGTGAGATGCGGTTTCAAAAAAACATTTTCTTTATCGTGCCAACGTTTCGATCATTATTGAGATCATCTTCAGGGCCTGGGATTTATACAATGGCAAAAATATTTTTTTTAATATTCAATCAAAGTATTTTTACTCACTCAAAGTATATGTTTTCTGCGTAATTGTGCCATTCAATATCTCACTGGCACTCTCAACACGATACGCAAGAATGGCACAATTACGCAGAAAAAATGATTGAATATAAAAAATATTTTTTGCATTATATAAATTCATTTTGTCCACATCCTATATGTATTTGCTAAATTTAAACAATGTTTGTAAATTCCAGGCCCTGAAGATGATCTCAATAAAGATCGAAACTTTGGCACCATAAAGAAAATGTTTTTCTGAAAGCTACATCACACCACACCGCATCTCATGATTTCTGAATAATCATCGACTAACGGTCACTAATCATCACACATTGAAAAAAATCGTAAATCAGTAGTTTAATTATTTCAGTACAATACTGAAGAAGCGATTTTTAATGAAAGTTTAAATTGACCTGATATGTATCTCCTATTTGAACAATTAACAAAAATCTTTCCTACTGAAAATTAATACGACGATTTCAGTATATTTAAAAAATAATTATTATATTTCACTATGCGTGCGTTACGACTTTCATCAACAGACAATCCTAAAGCAATTGATAAACGTTACAGATGCCTAAAACTATAAAATATAGCATAACTGTCAGGGCTATTTGTCGGCTATTGTGTTATCCGTAATCCTCTGACTGGGAAAAGGGGAAACCATTGTGCTCGCATAATAAGCCCATAGGTTTAAATAGAGACATAACTCGAGCATTATGATAATCAAGTGTTGTTTGCTCATGAGATCAGTTAGACGTGATATTTATTAGTGTGTACTTAGGAAAACGGGCGAATTTCGACCAGGTAAACTCTTCCCAGGGGATCCTCCTGTTCTTTTGTAACAAGAACAAACCTCCCGGTCCAATAAATATATTTAACTTTATTTGTCCAGGAGTTTTTTCCCTATCGAACTTCTCCGTGGCATTGTCCGCTATTGTAGAGGAGGCGAAGGAGAATAGGGTCTCTTTTTCCAGTTAACAAAACGGTTTGACGTGATTTAACCAGATAACGCTTTCGCTCAAATGGCTACCTGAGGATGATCCTGGGGCACAGTTTAAATCCTACAGGTGAAACCGTCCTGACAGCAGAATGTTGATAAACAAACACAACGAAGATTTTTTTAAAAAGTAAAATAGTATTTCAATAAAGCTTGCATACAAACGTAAGTCAAATGTAACTTACTAATAATCTTTGTTATTCAAATGAGAAAACAACTTCGAAAATAATCTTGTGAGGTCATCCTTCTTATAGGAACATCTCAACAGTATATACATTATTCCCAACACTTTTGATATAAATTATGTATAAATGGAACAATTACAAGCCACACAATATTTATACTGTTGTTCAACTTCTATGTTGTAATTTCTAAGTCTCAAGTTCGCTCCTCATTCTTCCCCTCTCACGCTTTCTCTCTCTTTCTTTCCCTCTTTATCGTTTCTCTCTTTCACTCAGCGGGTACATTCCAAAAACTACAAGTTCGAACAAGAACGCATTTTTACTACCTCACTTACATCTTTCTGTCTGTCTCTCTCCCTATTAGTACATTTCTTTACTTTTTCGTATAAATAATCACTCTCAAATACATCCTTTTCTCACTCTGTCTTTCTCTCGTTCTCATTGTCTCTATCCCTCATTATTTTCTAATCTAGTTTTCTCACTTAAAGAGAGGTTAAAGTTTCTCAAACCATTGCAGCTATAAATATATCATCAAAATTGATCAATCAATCAATCTTTTCTTCTCTCTCTATATTTTCTCCAAACACCTAACTGAAACTTTCTCACTGCGCCAATTACTCTCTTCTAGCTCTCTTCTAGCTCTCTCTCTCTCTCTCTCTCTCTCTCTCTCTCTCTCTCTCNAACTTTTATATATATATATAAGCTCTAGTTTGGGTTCCTTGGAGAAAAATTTTAGAAAAATTGTTGAGGATTTAGAAAGAATTGATACTTGGAGTAAAAACCATAGTCTTTGTCTGAATCCAAGGAAGAACAGAATGGTTGGGGTTTACACAGAAGACAAACACTTTGAGTGAGTAGAAATACTTTGATTGAATATATAAAAATTATATTTTGCATTGTATAAATTCACTTTTCCACATCCAAAATGTAATTGTTAAATATAAACAATGTTTGTAAATCCCAGGCCCTGAAAATGATCTCAATAAAGATCGAAACGTTGGCACTATAAAGAAAATGTTTTTCTGAAACCTGCCAGCCCGCATCTCACGATTTCTAAATAAATATCGATTAACGGTCACTAATCACCACACACAAGAAAGAACAAAATTCTACCATTTTTGGTAATCAAAGACTATATCTAGGGTTAAGTATGTGACTTATTGCCCGAGGTCAGAGCTAATAATGAAAAAATCCCTTATGCCGAAAATGTTAATATATTAGGTCTACTTGTACAAGATAATTAATAATGGGATTGCTAAGTAAAGAAGATTTGTAATATTATCTATTCTAAAGTGTATAGGCTAAAAAAATTAATTAACTATTACTCTAAAAAAATAAAAAATATATTGTAAAAGTATTTTCCTTACTTAAACTATGGCTTACAAGTAATGTCGAACCTGAATTATAAAAACATTAAACATGTCCAAGTCACGCAAAATATGTGTACAAGAGTAAGATACATACTTAATCTAAAATTTGATGATCGTGTGTACGAAAAGTATAAGAAATTGTCTGTATTAAAAGTTAAAGACTTGCAAGAATTCAAAATATTAAACATGTTATCTAGTATTTTGAGATTAAAGCTATCTGAAAGTTTTTATAATAAATATATATTTTTCAGAAATGAAAGCAGGCACTCTGATTCAAAAATAGTTATTCCTTTATGTAAAACAAAGATGTATCATAACTCATTCTGTCTGAAATCCATAAGTCTGTATAATCAATTAAACGAAAATATATTTTTATCAAGCCAAAGTAAATTTATAAATAAATATAGACTAAGGTTGTTAGACAAATACTGATAAGAGTACCTTTTTCTAAAAATACAAATAGTTGTTCATGGTTCATTTAGTTTATTAATTTAAGAAGTCCAATCGTGTGAAATAATCCATAATATGGATTGTGATGTATTATTGTGACATAAAATGTGTATATGTGAATTTGAAAGAAAGTATTACATATATAGCCATAGAAAGTATATTTAAAAAAAATAATTATAAAAATAAAAATAACTCAAGTCTCAACTTCGTGTCTGTGCGTGCTAAATAATAAGTTCTACTAAAAATCTGTCTCGTTAAATCTAAGAATGTTTTATGTAAACCAAATTTTGCGAGAATAAATAAATCATTAATCAATCAATCAATCTCTGTCTCTCTCTCTCTCTCTCTCTCTCTCTCTCTCTCTCTCTCTCTCTCTCCCCACG